ATGCACCGATATATAGGCCGCCGAAACATATCGGCCAAAAATGCCATTTTCCTGCCGATACATCGGCGCATCCCTGCTTTCTTTCCTCCCCGCAGGGCGCTGCTCTGTGTCCCAGCAGTGAGAAGAGAAAGTGACAGCCATCCGAGCGCTGCGGTGGAGAGCGCTGTGATCTGCCGGCGTCTCCTCCCACACCGCTCTGCTGCCTATCACATTCCGGCAGAGCGGTGTGTGGGCGGATACAGCGCTTTCACAGGAGGCTGGGCTTTCCTCTCTACACCGCTCGATCAGCCTCCTGTGACTTACCTGTTCTGCCACCTGGTGGTGTGTTATTGTTTTTCCCAGCATACTATCTGTGTTGATGATCCCCCAACATCAGCATATAACTGGTCCCTTTTCTGGTGTCAGATATGTTGCCAAAATGAAGGAACAGCCCCAAGGATGGTTGCAGATGGTATCTCTATAAGAGGACCATTGCAAGTGGAACTAGCTGCCCACCTGAGCTCTGACAATAAACCAAAACATTGGTTATTGGGGTGAATCTATAGTTTCTGAGAATTCAGTATGACACTGCTAACAGCTGTAACTTGATAGTTTATTTATGTTCATCTTTAGGGAATTTGTGCAAGTTAGCCTGTTGCGGGCCTGTATTGTGTGTTCTTATAGGATTATTCATTAGTGATGCTGATTCTACTGACTGGCATACAGGCCAACTGTAAAACTGTATGTGAAATATAATCATGGATCATATAGAATATCATGTACAAGTGGGTGTAGATAGATAGATACAGTAGAGATAGATAGATAGATAGATAGATAGATAGATAGATAGATAGATAGATAGATAGATAGATAGATAGATAGACAAAGATTTCAGGGAAGGGTAACAATAACAACACATAATTAATACTTAGTAAAAAAACACAATCCCTTAAAAATCAGTCCACATGGAGATTTTTTTGTTTTCATCATGAGTCATGTATTCACAAAAGGGGATCTTATTAAACCAGGTGACCAGTTGATAACATTTACATATAAACACATATCTCAATTTCAAATATTTGTGCAGGTCTAGATGCATTTGTAAAGTGTGGCCATACTATACAATGGCATAGAGCAACTGAACACTTATTGTGTGTCTACCAGATACTCCAAAAATGAGATGTGTTGGTCATATAATCCAGAGCAGAGGTGCACAGGGAAGTAGTACTGGGCCAGCTAAAATTGCAGAGACATCATGGATTATATGGCAAAGCATGAGTACTAGAGGTGGTCAGGTCCCCTGGAAGATGGGCCCAGTTATGGTTTCAGCTGATCCCTGTCCCTTCACAAGAAAAATATCCATAGAAAGTCCTAGTTGGTTTCTTTTACATGTGTGTAGTCATATATATATATAATACTTCCTATACTATCTTAGGCTGTAGTCAGTCTTTTTTCTGTTCCACACTTAATAAACAAAGCACATAACATCTCCTTCACATAATAATAATAACCATTACTATCATTGGACACAATTCATATTGTTAGGCATGAATTTTAAGCTCTGCAAAGCTTATATTTTATATTTCCTTCACATTAAGTAAACAAAACTTTTTCATCAATACTGTACTAGACATCAAAGCATGCTGATTCTTTGAAGTTACTACTGTTTTAATTAAACAATGCCTTTGTTCATATAAATACAAATAAAATGTAAATAAACAGAAACTTTCAATCCAGATTTTTGCAACCAAAAAACAACTTCAAATATTTAAAAACAATTATTTTTCCTTTAGGATGTTCACCCTGCTACTGTCCGATATATGGCAAACTTTTGGCCTAAAACATATTACAGCATTGTAAGTGGAATAGGTTGTGGAGTATCGGGGAACCACATAGGGGTCTATTCACTGAGCAGCCGAAGGATCTAGCCGTAGCAGAAGAGAAACACTGCTTTTTCTTTGTTTTTCTTTATTCTGACACGGAGCCGTATCAGGATAGAAAAAAAAATTTACAAAAATTTGCCCATAGGAATGCATTCCTAGATTTCTATTGGCTATTTCAATTTGCAATAGCCAATAGTAAACTAACATTGCACCTGCCCTCTGCTGCAGTTCTCCATCAGGTCCATCAGCAGAGGGCGGGTACTATGCTAGTTTACTATTGGCTATTGCAAATTGAAATAGCCAATAGGAATCTAGCAATGCATTCCTATGGGCAAAAATTATAATTTTTTTCTATTCTGACACAGCTCCGTGTCAGAATAGAATAGTGTTTCTCTCCTGGGCGGCCTGGAGCGGGAGACTCCAAGAGCGCCCGGGAGAGTTGTTTTTTTTCTTTCTTTTTTTTGACGGCAGCAGAACCGCCGGACAATAGAAAACTGTTGGGCGGAGCTAGCTGTGATTGCTAGCTCTGCACAATCGTTTTCTATTTATTTATTTTTACTTTTTGAACTATTTTTCTGTTCTGCTCTGTCCCTCTGAGGGACCGAGCAGAACAGCTGAGCTGAATGCCGCTCAGCAGCATTCGGCTATTCACTCACTGCTGTTCGGCATCTATAAGAATAGACCGAACAGCAGCGAGTAGCCTGCCGGAGGTTCGGCTTAGCTGATCCAGATGTTGGATCGGCTGAGTCGAACTCCTCCTGCACTTCAGGTCGGCCGAACATGCTGCGCATGTTCCGCCGACCCGAAGCCACGTGAAGCCACCCAATGTACGGCTGATTTCACATGATATACGGCTGAAATCAGCCGTACCAGCCTGAAGTGAATAGCCGAACAGCGTTCGGCTCACTTCACTTCAGGTCGGTCTTTCACTCGGCTGCCTACGGCAGCTTAGTGAATAGACCCCTAAGTTTTTGATTAGGTATGGAGAAAGTCTTTAAGGAGATTGTTACATTGCAGTTCCTTGGCATTTCAAAAAAATCTAATCAGACATCTACAACGTAAAAGTCAAGTATTGGTTTTAATATTTATATCGGTATAGATCCATAAAAACTTTCATTATGGTATAGATTGTATGCTAAACACTTTGAAAGTTGAACATTGACCCTTGGCAAGCCTAGACTGCTCATATAGATGCTATAGTATGAAAAATTATGCTTGCTGTTAGGTTTTCGAAATGATAATTCCTCCTGTTTCCACAGAGATCAGCAACCTCTGTGATTAAGGCCCTACCTACATCTGTCATATAGTATACGGCAGCTTAGTGAATAGACCCCATAATATTACAAACCAGATGTTAATGCTCTGTCAACACAGTCATGACAGTCACAGACTATAAAATATTTAGAGAACAGACAGGAAAAAAATAAATCATAATTGAGAAGAGCTTGAAGAAAGAAAATAGAAGCAGTGTACAATGGTTGAGAATAGATTTGTGTACTGTGTAAGAGTTGCTGTTCAAATTGGTTTTGTGAATGATATAAAACATCAAGACTTGTATTTCTAATGGATCACGCAGTCACCAATGTTATGTACACCAAAGACAATTGTTTTCCAGTTGTTAAATGTATTCTGATATATTATTAATATAACAAAGGACAATGTTGTACTATAATATATAGCGCTGTCTTGAGCATCTGAAGCCCTTTTAGGATTTTCTAATGTAAATATCTAATCATTGTCATGCAGTGTACAAAACGTTCTGCTGAAAGTCTTCATAATGGTGTTAAAGGTTTATATAAATGAATTGATTACCAGATTTAGTCATTTCATACCTCCATCTTGCACAATTTGGCCAAATTAATTAGGGACAAATGCCTGGATTCTAAAAACTGCTTGGATATTAAACAAGTGGAATGGAAAATTACTGCATTTGTTTGTGTTTGAGGTCATCATATGATTGCTTTCATAACTTCATTCTGAGAAATTTGTTTTAGGAGATGAATATTTACATCTGCTAGCCTTGGTCATATGCATATTTGAAAGTTTGGTTTTTGGTGCATGAAGTTGTCTTCTGCAATCCTCAACAGTTGATTGGTAGCAGTTCATTGGGGCTGTAAATGTTATTTAGTTTTTTATGCCTGCACCACTCCCAGAAGAAAAGGGGAAATGCCCTTCCTTTGCCATAAAAGGATGGATTAAGCACAAACTGCTGAATGTAGCAGATCTAGATTAGGAATCCTCAACATCACTGCAGGGTTAAGGTTCTGGTGATCTTTGTTCTATTGATATTATGATTATATTGGTTGCCTGTTGTTTTATTTCTATTGACATTTTGGTTATAGGTAAAGAACAGTGCAAAAAGGCTTAATATAATGTCTAATATAAAATGATTTGGAGGCTTAATATAATGTCTAATATAAAATGATTTGGAGACATAATATAATATCTAATATAAAATAATTTGGAGAGTTAATATCTAATATAAAATGAGGTTGAAACATCATTGCACAACATGTACTTTGTCCTTATCTATAGCGGGAAGTGGGGTTTCATGTGAACAGTGCGGGTTCCCACATCATATTTTTTCTTTTGTTTATCTGTTAAAACTTTTGGCTAAAACAGATTGGGGTTTACATTTTACTGACACATCTGAGCACTTCAGGCTGGCCATTCAGGGTGTATTGTGCAGTATATTATCTGCACAAGTTCTTCCTTTATCTGCAGCATTTTTAAGAATCAAATTTAATGTTACCACCTACCAGAATATTTTTGTACATGGTGTTTCCTAAGGTGATTGCTCACTTCCCATACTCTAAATAGTAATATAAAGCAGATTAAATACTCAACAGATTGGAGAAGTTATATAGGTTTCCTGTAAACACTGGAAGAAGGGTTATAAGATTACATAGGGGGAACATCATAAATGCAGCTTATTGCGCATGTAACTGGGCTTTGTAAAACAGTTACTATGAATTACTAAGAGCTGCACAGCCTTTCAGTTTTGTGAATTGTGAAGGCTGCTGTAACTACAGGACTTATTACCTGTGTGAAAAGAGGTATTTGAACCAACAGATGTTGAATAATCTAACTTTAAAATGTTCATTCCTGAAAATTAACCACTTTCCTCCTCTGTTGCAGATGCATCATCCTATTCAGATGAAACCTGCAGATAGTGAAAAGTCAAACGGTAAGAAAAAGTTTTAGTTGCCTCTATATCAACTTCTCAAATCTTTTTTGAGAGTGTAGACATAGTAATTTATTAGGTTAAAAATCACTAATTTCAACTGAATCACTGTTTTCTGAAATATTCAAAAACTTTATAAATACACTATATTGTAAACTGAAATAAAATGGCAGTCCAAAGTAAACAGAGGCATACAATCATTACATACAATCCAGAATAAGCTATCATCACTATGGTTGACTTTACAGTGAAACATAATCTGCAAGAATTTTTCATTACCATCTGTAGCTGTGTGTAGCAATTTACATGTAGTCTTGTGACAACACTTATCGAAACCTTTAAAGGAGAACTATGAGATGAGTGATTTCCACTCACCTCATAGTTCTAGACGACCTGTGACAATGAGACTGTCACAGATCGGCTCAGTAGATCGGGAGGTGAGCGAACACATACCAGGTTCGCTCACCTCTTGATCCCTTCACGGCTCTCTGCCGTGACAGGGGGAGGGCTGGATTCCCCTCTCCCCGCTCCGATCTGCCAGCGCTGACTGGCGGAACGGATGGGGGAGGGGGCGGGTACAGCTGGCTCTGCCTCTAGATAGGCAGAGCCAGCTGTCACTCACGCAGCTGGGCGGATCCCGTCATCTACGTCGGGATCCGCTTCGGCAGCAGCGTCTCAGTATACCGCGAGCTGTAGCTCGCGGTATACTGAGCTTAGGGTAACGGGAGGATGCTAGTTTGTGTCCTCCCGTTACCCTAAGGAGAACTATGGGGAAAAACACTGACCCCATAGTTCTCCTTTAAGCAATTTTTTTTATTATTTTACAATGTAGTGCATTCATAAAATGCCACACACTACCTCTAGTCCTTTTCAGGCTCACTGCCTAATGCTAGTGGAAGGGATCAGAAACAGAGGAGAGAACAAGACAAAATAAAAGGTGCAGGGGGAGACATGGGAAAGCTACACTAAACTGTGCAATACAATAAACTCCCACTTTTATTGAAAGCTAAGTATCCAGGTAGGCAGAGAAAGGCCCATACTGAACTAGGCAGTTAGAACAGATAAGGGTGGAGATCACAGAGCTTCCAGGGACCTGTGGTGAACCTGCACACTATCTGGAACACACATACATGCAGCCACTGGGAAGACACTTTTGTGAGAGAGCTTTAATGCACAATTCTTTTCAATTAGGCCTTCAAAAAATACATTTATTACTGGTGAAGCTTTCGTTCTGCATTATGCTTGTAAAGACTCTGTACCCTATAACTTTTTTTTTAGTTTTGAGTGTTTGCTAGTACTTTGAACAACTTATCAGCTTCCAATATCTTGCATGCCTCCAACACGGTTCCCAGCTCCAACACTTGCTACAACCATTTTGGAAATAATCTTTCTTTTTCTCCAGCATGAAACCAAGAAGCCTATATCCATAGCCTTTATTTGTAGCCAAAATACCTACTGTGGTATATTCACTCTTTAAAATGGAAGTAAACTGTTTGGTTTTTTAAAAAAAATAAAAAATTGGGCTGTTAGCCATTAGCATACTAGTAGTATTTGGACACTGTGGCAGACTTACATACAGAAGTGATCCTTTCCAGTGCTGCTCCCCCAGACTTTGGCTCCTCCATCTTCATCCCAGTCCTCTTTTAGGTTTCGAGTCGTTGATTGCTTTACTGGCTGGCTGAGCCTCTATGACGTAACTCTGGCACATGTACGTGTGAGTTATTTTATCTCAGCAAGAATCCTGCAGATATTGTGTACTGAGCTCCACATGTGTGGCTTAGTGTACAGTTGTAGTGCTGATGGGCAGAGAGAAACGTCTATGACAGAGACTTACACGGTTTCTTCTGCCATTAAAAAAAGCCTGTCTGTCAGAACTTTTGAAAATTTACAGGGTGAAAAGGGTGAAGAGTACAAAGAAGGCAGGAGAAGTGAACAGTCTAGGCCAAAATAGCTGATTTGGAAAAATTCTCCAATTCAGCTCACTTTCCAGTTCAGCTATGTTGTCCTAGATTGTTCACTTCTCCTGCCTTCTCCAAACCCCTCACCCTTTTGTGAATAGCCCTGTTAGACTTAACGTTCACTTTGACACAGCTATTCTAATCCACTTCCCTGACACTGGCAGATTATGAAGCATTACCTATATTTTATATTTATGTGCTTTACAGAATTAAAATAAAAGTAGAATATTGTCTTTATTGCTGTCATTTGTTGGATTGTTTAAACTTACACAGCCTTGGATTCAGCAAATGCAAACATAGCTTTGAAAGAAAATACACCAATGCATTATTAAAACAATTAATTTAGCCTTTGCTGTGTAGTAACACATTTTAAAGTACTTAACTTCCGAATTACAGGAAGTGCTTCAATAGTAAATTTGTTTACTTGACAATGTAGAAATTCAGCAGATATTATATGGCTTTTAAAGTCTAATAAAATGTGAACAAAATGTATATAAGCTTGCAATGTCAGACAGTGAATGGTGATGAGGGTCTTACCAGAAAAAAGGGTATTCTTAAAGTATGTATGGCAATGAAAGCTATTATCATTTTCTTGTTGTACAAATCACATAATATCCATTATCTAACATTAAATATCTGGTTATTTACTTTATATGAGGTTCTTATAGAATTCAACTATAGCATACAAAATATGAATGCATAAAGCAAACTAATGGCTAGTGTTTAATTTTTGTTGTTATTTATAGCAACCAATTTAATAAGATTCTGTTGAGGGTTTTTTTTAGACACTATAAGGCAAAATTATTGAGCACATGCACTTTTATTTAGACACTAGAAATGTATGAAACTCTTAGGGGGTTATTCACTTAGCTGCCGAAGGCAGCCGAGTGAATAATCGAGCCGAAGTAAAGTGAGCTGAATGCTGTTCGGCCATCCACTTCAGCCATACATGGGCTAAAATCACCCGTTCATCAGCTGCCTTCAGTCAGCCGAACATGCTCTGTGCAGAAGGCTCTGGATCGGCTGAAGCTCACTCGCTGCCATTCGCCCCTATTCTCATAGGGGACGAACGGCAGTAAGTGAATAGTCAAATGCCACCGAGGTAGCAAGCAGAATAGTAAAAAAAGGAAATATAAACAACTGGGCGGAGCTAGCGGTCACATCACTCTGCTCAACTGTTTGTCTGGCACCTATTGTCTGGCACCTACCAGAGTCTTCTAGCAGGTCTCGGGCAATAAATAACAACTGGGCAGAGCCAGGCCGTGATGTCATGGCCAGCTAGGCCCTGTTGTTATTGTTTAATGACAGCTCAGCGTCCCCAGGTCATTTAGTGACGCTGATCTGTCATTACAACTGGGCAGAGCGAGCCGTGAGATCACAGCTGGCTCAACCCAGCTGTCATTTGTGTGGAGATTGGTCAGCTTAGGTCGACTTATCTCCACGCTTCGCCTGTCACTACGGCTGCCTCCGGCTGCTGTATGGGCTGTAGCAAAGCAAGCCAAAGGATCAGCTGAAGCTATGACTGGATCCTTTGGCTCTGTAGTGAGTAACCCTCTTATTGTTTAAAGAGAAAGTATAGTCAAATTTAAGTATTTAAGTGCACAATTGGGTTATTGTAGTATATACCCACGAGTAATTTCTTTGTTTCCCATTTTTTCATGTTTTTGTTACATATTTTTGTTGCATTAAATGCAGAGATTTGTGGAGTATCCACTAAATGCGGGGTAGATTAGCTACTACATTGAATATCGCTAACTGTTTAACGCATGCTCAGATAAGATAACAGCCACTGCAAGGGTTAAGAATAATTAGAGTTCTCCTTTAAGATATCCTAGCTTGTTTTCCTAGAACATGTGTACATTGATGCAGGGGGCAATTCAATTAATCTTGATTGTATATATGCATAAGATCAGATAAATATACCTGTGTGCCCTTGAATGGGACTTGTACTGTGCGGTTCACATCTCAGCTGCCACAACTAGGTTGTCAATAGGAAATATTGGCTTTTCTGAAGAGCAGGACAATATTGCCAACTGTAATATATTACAAAAGATCAAAAAGTTTCCTTTTAGTTTTTATTTGATCTTTTGTAAAATATTATTAGTATCTTTTGTAAAATATTATTAGTAAATACTAAACCAATAGGTGATGGCAACAGTGGCGTCACACGGGGGTGGGGGTGCACAGGGTTACACCACTGGAGGGGGTGACACCAAAATGGCTGATAGTCATTTTAGTTGTAAAGTCTGAAAAGTCGGGCACTCCGTCATGAACCTGAGAGCCCGGCAGTTGCACAAGACAGGAGGGGACCCGGTGGCATACGTTATCCAGCCGGGTGAACATCCCCTACTCTCTTTGCTGGCACCCATCACCAAGATGGCCAACGGTAGGTAAGTGCACATGAGATCATCACGCGCGTCCACATGCGTGATGACATCCCAGTGGGGTGTCACCAGGTGGCTACTCCCGGTGACACCATGCCTCAGGACACCCTGGATAGTTGTGGATAATTATCTTCTGAGGGTGTTTTTATGTTATATCATCTGCACATATATTGTCACTATTTTTTTAATTGGAAATAATATACATTGTGGTAATTGGGTACCTTAAAAGTCTATTGTTTCTTGTTCCCTTCTTTCAAATTCGTATCCCTCGGCCATTGGGTGGCCACTGAAGGCCTAAGGTACATATGCACAAAAACTTTACATCATCCTGGAACACAATTCCATTCCTACAAATGCTTGTGCATGTCCCCCAGGTTAACTACACTATATAAGTGCTAGGAGTAGAAGAAACGTGCAATATTTTAAAAATAAAGTTCTTCTCTATTCAAGGTGGCCACCTAATGCCCAAATCCAGTATGACTTTAACATGAGCATTTGTTAATTGTTAAGAAGAGTGAAAGTGGTCTTGTACACTGGATCACTAACGCTGGACGTTATAGTTGTGTGCACCTGAATCACCTTTGTTCAATTTTTAGCTGAACCTGCAGATGGTTACTGAGAATCATAGAATTACCCATGAGGCAACTGAAACATCTATGAT